ATGACATTGGGGAAGGAACTGACCCTCAACAATGTGCTACATGTACCAGACATCCGAAAGAATTTAGTTTCTGGATCTTTGTTAAGTAAAAATGGTTTTAGGCTTGTATTTGAGTTTGATAAATTTGTATTAAAAAAGAGTGGTATGTATGTTGGTAAGAGATACATGAGTAATGGTTTCTTCAAGTTGAATGTAATGACAATTGTACCAAAACTTGCTACTGATAAGAATAACACATCTCTTGGTTATATTCTTGAGTCAAATTTATGGCACGGTAGATTAGGACATATAAATTTTGATACCTTTGCGTAGACTAATTGGTTTGGATTATATACTAAAGTTTGAAATTGATATTAATCACAAACGTGAAATTTATGTAGAAGCGAAACTAAGGCTCCATTTAAATCGGTTGAAAGAAAAACTGAACCTCTAGAATTAATTTATATTGATGTATGTGATCTTAAATTTGTTCAAACTAGAGGAGGCAATGAGTATTTCATAATATTTATCAATGATTGCACAACATATTGTTATGTATATTTACTTAGAAATAAAGATGAAGCCTTGGAAATGTTTAAACTTTACAAAACTGAAGTTGAAAATCAACCTGGTAAAACCATTGAAATGGTTAGAAGTGATAAGGGTGGTGAATATGATACACCTTTAAATGAATTTTGTGCACAACATAGCATTATTCACCAAACTACAGCACCCTATTCTTTACAGCAAAATGGAATTGCGGAAAGGAAGAATAGAATCCTTAAAGAAATGATGAATGCCATGTTACTAAGTTTAGATTTACCGCAGAACTTGTGAGGGGAGCAATTTTGTCTGCTAATTATGTTCTTAATAGAATACCCCATAAGAAAACGAATAGCACTCCTTATGAATTGTGGAAAGGTCGATCACCTTCCTACAAATACTTAAAAGTGTGGGGTGTTTGGCAAAGGTAGAGAGGTTCATGTTCCGAAAAAGGCTAAAATAGGACCAAAAACAATGGATTGTATGTTTATTGGTTATGCTCAGAATAGTAGTGCATCTTGGTTTCTGACTTATAAATTAAAAATACCTGATATAAATGTGAACACTATTATAGAGTCAAGGAATGCTGTGTTTTTTTAATATAGTTTTCCTTACAAGAAAGGACAGGAATTAAGTTCACATAAAAGAATTTATGATTGTACACAAAGTCAAGAAACTAATGACAATCAAACACAAGAGACTATTAATGGTCTCAACCAGCAGGATTTAACTGATGATGAACCATGACGAAGTAAGAGAGTAAGAACATCAAATTCCTTTGGTCCAGATTTTCTAACATATCTGTTAGAAAATGAACCTCAAAACTTTAAGGAAGCAATGACAAGTCCTGAAGCAACTTTGTGGAAAGAGGTTGTTAAAAATGAAATTTAATCCATTATGCAAAATCATACTTGGGAATTGGTGAATCGTCCACCCGGTTCTAAACCTCTTGGATATAAATGGATATTCAAGAAAAAAATGAAAGCAGATGGTTCAATAACAAGTACAAAGCAAGACTTGTGATAAAAGGTTACAGACAAAAGGAAGGTCAGGATTATTTTGACACATATTCCCCTATGACAAGAATAACATCCATTCGCATGCTTATTGCTATAGCAACGTTGTATAATTTAGAAATACATCAAATGGATGTTAAGACAACTTTCTTAAACGGTGATCTAAATGAAGAGATCTATATAGAGCAACCCGAAGGGGTTGTAGTACCAGGGCAAGAAAACAAAGTTTGTCGGCTTGTAAAATCTTTTTATGGATTAAAACAAGCTCCTAAGCAATGGCATGAAAAATTTGATCATACTATGCTTACTAATGGGTTTAAGATAAACGACTGTGACAAGTGCATCTATGTTAAAAATATTGACAAAGGTTATATCATCATTTGTCTTTATGTGGATGACATGTTTATCATTGGAAGCAGTCAAAACATGATCGAATCAACTAAGAAAATGTTGAACAAAAGATTTGATATGAAAGATATGGGGGTCGTAGATGTAATATTAGGAATGAAAATTACTAAAACATTTGATAGATATGCATTATCTCAATCTCATTATATTGAGAAAATTCTTGGTAAATATATCAAAGATGATATAAATGTAGCAAGAACACATGTAGACATTAGTCTTTATTTATCAAAAAATAAAGGTGATGAGGTGTCTCAGCTAAAATACTCCAAAATCATTGGAAGCTTAATGTACCTAATGAATTGCACTTGTCCTGATATAGCTTATGCTGTCAGTAAATTGAGTAGGTACACTAGTAACCCCGGAGAAGACTATTGGAAAGCGATCATTCGGGTTCTTAGATATCTAAGATTTACCCGTGATCATGGTTTGAACTTTACTCGATATCCAGTAGTATTAGAAGTTTATTATGATGCCAATTGGCTATTGGATACTAAAGATTCAAAATCCACTAGTGGATATGTCTTTACTTTGGGAGGCGCTGCTATTTCTTGGAAATCCACGAAACAAACATGCATCGCACAAACAAAGGAATTTGAGTTCATTGCTTTAGACAAAGCAGGAGAAGAAACAGAATGGCTTCGCCACTTCTTAGAAGACATTCCAATATGGCCAAAACCTATGCCAGCTATTTGCATTCATTGTAATAGTCAATCTGCAATAGGCAAGACATAGAGTCATATGTACAATGGTAAGTCACGACATATTCATCGATGACATAATACCATAAGGCAATTTCTCTCAAATGGAATAATCTCAATAGATTATAAAAAATTTAAAGAGAATATTGTGAATTCGTTAACAAAAGGTTTGACTAAAGAGCAAATGTATAGTTCATCGAAGGGGATGAGATTAAAGCCTATTATATAAGAGTCATCATAATGGTAACCCTACTTATATGATTGGAGATCCCAAGAACTAAGTCCAAAGGGACAACTAAGTTATGTGTGGCTCGCCAGAAATTATCAAGGGATTAAAATTCCCTACCCATTCCTATGGTGAGAGTAAATCTGCAACATGTGTTGTATGCAGGGGTTTAAGGATAAACTTTGCTTTTAATGATTACTTATATTTTGATTTAAGCATAAAAATCAAGACGAGTATAAGAGATACTTACAATAAGAATCAACTATATGAGTGTCGAACTGGGGCTGCTTATATGAGAATGAAGAGGCTAAATTCTCTAGAAACACTCATGAACAACTAGGAGCGTTCAAGGCCAAAATGAACACAACCGTGAGAACCACGATGTGTCAGAAGATATTTTGTGTGAAATCTATTGTCTTGGCTTACACAAACGGCTAAACAATTCAAGGCATCGTGTTAATTGGTTAGCTAGTAAGTTCGATAGGTTGTCACTTGGGAAGGTTTAAGGCCGAAAGCTACCTATCATGATGTAAGATATTTTCAATTTATACTCTTTTGACAAATTCTGCATATTGTTGCATTTCTGTTGTCATCAAATTCCATTCATGTGGGGGATTGTAAGAAATGGTTTTGGAAAAGCAGATTTTTCCTTAACTTTGTTGTAATTTTTAGGTGAGACCCATGCCCTAAAGTTGGCGGGTCTAAGTGGTAACGCGTTCTATGCCGCGTTGTGATTCACCTAGTATATTTGGTTGCTCAAAACTATTATCGAGTGAATAGAAAATTGAATAGAGATCAAGAAGTTTGAAGTCGTTAGGATAGAACAGATCGACCAAGATGAAAATTGTAGGGCAAATGAGTTGGCCGATTTTGCATCAATGTCAGAAACTTCCATTCCAAACCTTTTGCTGATTGACTTTTTACGGAGGTCAAGCATTGAAGAATTTGAAACGACGAACATTAGAACAAAAGTAATCTATGGTGACGAAAGTAGTGAAGTAAATAAATTTCGTCACTAAATAGAATAATCCGTGACGAATTATTAAATTTTGTCACGTATAATAAAAAATAAAAATAATAGGTGACGAAATTTGTTTTCGTCAACAAATACTTCCTTTTAGGTGAGGAAAAATTAAGTTTGGTCACCGAAGGTTTTCCCACTAATTTTTTTTTGGTTGGCGCCAAAATTTGAAACTTTTGGTGAGAAATTTTTTTTGTCACTAATTATAAAATTATTGGCGGGGAATATATTTTCATCACTAATAATTTTGTATATATATTTTTTGAGAAACTTGATTTTAAATATTTTAAAACCATTTGGTGAGAAATATATTTTTGTCACTAATAATTTTTAATATTTTGAGACTTTTTAGTGAAGCAATTATTTTGTCACCAATTTTGGAGGAAAAATTTTGACATATTGGGCGGTAATGGAAAAAATAGACAACTAACTTTTTTCTCCGTTTTATTTTTGTTTATCAATTTCTCTCTCTCTCTCTCTCTCTCTCTCTCTCAAAACAAAACACAAGTTAATTAACTCTCTAAACCTATGGTGATGAAAAGTAATGAAGAAAATATTTTGTCACTAAATAAGAATAATCCGTGACGAATTATAAAATTTTTTCACACATAATAAAAAGTAAAAATAATAGGTGACGAAATTTATTTCGTCAATAAATACTTATTTTTAGGTGAGGAAAAATTAAATTTCGTCACCAAAGATTTATCCTCTAATTTTTTTGGGGTGGCGCCAAAATTTTGAGACTTTTAGTGAGAAATTTTTTAATCACCAATTATAAAATTATTGGTGAGGAATATATTTTTGTCACCAATAATTTTAAATATTTTAAAAAAAATTAATTTTAAATATTTTAAAACTATTTAATGAGAAACATATTTTTATCGTCAATAATTTTAATATTTTAAAATTTTTAATGACAAAATTATTTTATCACCAACCAATCTTAAAGGAGAACTTTGAGATTTGGCGATAATGAAAAAAAAGGAACCCTACTAATTCTCCCCCACCCCTTTTTTCCTTTTTTTGGTGCTCCTGTTTTCCTCTCATCCCTCTCTTGCAAAACACACAAAGGTGTGGCCTCTCTCTCTCTCTCTCTCTCTCACTTGTAGTTGTTTAATGGTGGAGTAAGGGTTTTCAGTAACGTGGTGGCGCTGTGATGGGGATGGAATGGTGTAATGGAGGTGTAGTGTGAGAGGAGGAGGGCTAGAGGTGGTATAGTAAGGAGGGAAAGGGCAGACATTTCAAATTTGTAGTAGAGAAAAAGAGTAGTTTTGTGGTTGTGGATAAGAGGGAAGGAGGCAATGGATCTATGGTAGTAGAGGGTTGGAGGGGCTGTGGCAAGGGGCGGAAGGGGAAGTGTAACCCGATGGGATAGGGGTTTCTAAGGGGAATGAAGAAGTTGGGGAGCCAGAAGAGGGTTGGGAGAAGGAGACGGTGTAGAAGCCCTTGTGTTTGATAAAATACCTGTGTGAAACATTACCATATTGTTGAGTATTTTAGAGTTGAAAGGTCATTTTATTATCTTGTGTGGAGAATCCTTAGTTCACCAAGTTTGAGTTGTTATGTTTGAAAAAATTTCCATCACAAATAATGCAGCTGTGGATTATCAGACAGCAGATTCTGAACATGTATTGAAGAGATCAAGACCTTTTGGAATGCCAGACGAAGTACTGCATAACAATTCCTCGGTATTTTCTTGTGGACTGGATGGAAGTTTAATAGGAGTTTTATCACCCAAAGTTATATCTTTGCTTATTTATTTTTATTTATTATTTTTTTTGGGCATGATTAGGAGTTTTGTATTCATGTTTTGAAGCTCTTAGATGGTGTGATTCATTATTTTTCATAATTAATATTGTGATTAATGGAATTTCTTGCCGTTTGGGCTCTTTTTCAGAATTGGTAGTTGATTTTTGGGAAAATTACTTTACCCCTTCGGGTTTGGGCCATTTTGTGATTAATTTTGGATTGAAGTGCAAAGTGGATGAAAATCATTAGAATTAATTGAGCTACAATAAGTTGACCGTTATGCCTGTCAAAATGGAGCATGAAAATGATAATTTTGCCTTGAAAAGAGCTCTTCACACTAGTTAACGCGTTTAGGGTATTTGTCATTTCATTAAATCAGTTATGATGCAGATCACTCCAAACCACAGGGAGTTTGTGGTCACTTTTAAACTATTGTGGGACTATGTATTTTTGGGCCAAATTCTAGTGGGTAAAGTAATTTTCTCTTGTTTTTTTGTTTTTAAAAAAGTGTGCATATGAGTGGAAGGCCGAACCTTATTGCAGCATCTATTAAATTCTATGTGGAGCAGTCACAAGTCATTAAGATGCCCCTTTGTCATCAAGTATGACACAACAAGAATACAATGATGTAGTTCACTTAGTTCAAATATGTAAGGTCCCATTGTACCATGGAATAATGGTTTTAGACTTTGTTTGGTCATTAGGAACTTGGAATCAATTATTAAATTGAGTTTCAGCATTAGGAAAGTGGAATCTATTTTCCAACTGAAATTGAAGCAACTAGTGCTTAGGAAACAAGAGAGTACTTTAGTAAGAAAGAAAAATAAGTGTGAGAAATTGCATGCTATAGGAAATTAGTTGAACAATTCTTGTCTACATTAGCCTTTTCTTTCAAATGTGACTGACTGACAACATCAAATTTCAAGAGTGTCCAATTCTGGAAGCCTAGGAGGATAGACAACTACATGAGAAATTTGAAGTGATTCGAGTTGCGACGATGAAAAAAAAAATTGAATGCACTTAATTGAAGTGTAAAAATAGTAAAGGAGCAGGGAACGAGCATAAAGAATTTAGATTTGTTTTATTTTATCTGCTGTCGGGTTGTCAGTTTGTTTGCATTTTAAAGAGTTGGTTTTTTATGAGGCTTATCTTATGCACACCAGAGCAGTCCTCTTTATGTCTCTGTGTGCATGTCCTCATGTTTTGTGTTTATTACCTTTTTTATTCTTCTTGTTTTGTGTTTAGTTATTTACCTTTTGAATTTGTACATGTTATCTATTTGAAGAGGGGTAAGATGAACTAAGGTTCATTTATAAGCCTATCTTCCTTAGATCCTTTAGTTGAAAGTACGTTTTCATGTTGGGATGGGAGTTGAGTTAATTGTTCCTACATTTACATGATCTCGTTGACAGGTCAATAATCTGCCTGTAAATATTCTGCCTGTTGGATACAATGCTCAGAGCCATGGTCAGAGTTCATACTCTTCTGATGATTTGCCCAAGGCTATTGTTATGACTTTAAATCAAGGTTCAGCTATGAAGAGTATGGATTTCCATCCAGTTCAACAAATTCTACTACTTGGTTAGCTCCCACCGTGCCCCACTTTTCTGTATTGGTCAGCTTTGAGGAATCTGGATAATTGCTTGTTTATTTCTTTTGTTTTTGTTCGTATGTTGATAATTTGATTTATGATAACTAATTGTAGTCGGAATAAACACTGGAGAGATCATGGTGTGGGACCTCAGTAGTAGGGAGAGGCTTGCTGTTAGGAATTTCAAGGTTTGGGAACTCCAAGCATGCTCAATGCCTCTGCAGGTTAGGCTGCTTTAGTACTAAATAACTTTGAGTGAAAAAAGTATGCATTTGATGCTTCCTAGAGTCATTGATACATTTCGTGATTGTATATCAGGCACCTCTGGCCAATGATTATACTGCATCTATCAACCGTGTGATTTGGAGTCCTGACGGTACCTTATTTGGTATGTTGGCCTAACATGATTGCTCCATTCTACTTAAAAATATTTTTCGTCATATTTTGAGGATTTTTCTTCCTCTGAAATTGCTCTTCTGGTGCTAGAACTAGAGTAGGCTATGCTTCGCATGATCTTAGCTATTGGGTAAATAATATCTTCTACAAAAGAAAATTCTCATACATTGAACTGTCCATTATTATTATTTTTTTTTGTTGACACTAGACAATGTACTTCAATGAAGGATATTAAGAATGAAGTGGGGATTTTGTTAGTTCTAATATCACATTCTTACTTTAGGTATTGCATGCTCCAAGAACATTGTGCACATATATTCCTACCATGGTGGCAATGATGTATGAAACCATCTAGAGGTTTGTGCCACAATCAATCAACTGGGAGTCTATATTGATTTTCTTTTGCTTTGATTTTTTTTTCCTGTCAATATTTCTAGTGTTCAGAGCTCACTTTAAATCTCTGCACAATATCATTTTTTGTAAAACCTTCACTACAACAAAAGTAATCTATGGTGACGAAAACTAGTGAAGAAAATAAATTTCGTCACTAAATAAAAATAATTCATGAGGAATTTATAAATTTTGTCACATATAATAAAAAAAATAAAAATGATAGGTGACGAAATTTATTTTCGCCAATAAATACTTCATTTTAAGTGAGGAAAAATTAAGTTTTGTCACCAAAAATTTTCCCGCTAATTTTTTTGGGTGGCGCCAAAATTTTGGGACTTTTGGTGAGAAAAAAATTTGTCACTAATTATAAAATTATTTGTGAGGAATATATTTTCGTCACCAAAACATTTTATATTTTTGATATCTTTTGGTGAGGAAATAATATTGTCACCAATTTTGGTGGGAAATTTTTGATATATTGAGCTGCAATAAAAAAAAAGGGTTTTAATTTTTTTACCCTTTTTTTGTTTATCATCTCTCTCTCTCTCTCACTCACTTTTAAAATAGGGTATTAATTAGTCTTACCTCTTGCTCCTCCACCACGCCGATCGCCATCGTCGTTGCCTTTATTAGCCTTGCCGATTGCCGCCGCCACTAGTAGCCTTATCGGTAACCGCTACATCTTCTTCACTCAGTGATTTGGTACGTGATTTCTCTTTACTCTTTTTCTGGTGTCTCTTTCTCTTATTCTCTGTTTTGGTATGATGACGAAAATTAGTGAAGAAAACAAATTTCGTTACTAAATAAGAATAATCGATGAGGAATTATAAATTTTGTCACGTATAATAGAAAAATAAAAATAATAGGTGACAATTTATTTCCGTCAATAAATACTTACTTTTAAGTGAAAAAAATTACGTTTCGTCATCTAAATTTTTCCCACTAATTTTTTTTTATGGCACCAAAATTTTGAAACTTTTGGTGAGGATTTATTTTTTCACCAATTATAAAATTTGTCACTAATTATAAAATTATTTGTGAGAAATATATTTTCGTCACCAATAATTTTTAATAGTTTTGAGATGTTTTGGTGAGAAAATAATGTTATTACCAATTTTGGTGAGAAAATTTTGATGTATTGAGCGATAATGATAAAAAAAAAAGGGTATTAATTTTTTTTTACCCCTTTTCTGTTTATCATCTCTCTCGCTCAAAATAGGTACTACTACAAAACAGTTAAAGATCACACTTTGACAAATAAAAATATCTCACTTTTGTTAGAAGTGTGATAAAAAAAATTAAATTGATATTTTAATTACACTTAATTTGATTGAGTGTGATAATATTTATTTTTTATGTCACTTTTTAATTAAATATGATTATATATATATATATTTTAATCTCATCTTCTAAATGTGATTATATAAAAAAAATTTAATAAGTGTGATGAATATATATTGTAAAAAATTAAATTCAAAAAATTCAATTAAATTTCTTTTCTTCTCTCTTTTGTGATTCACGCTCTCTCTCTCTCTCTCTCTCTCTCTCTCTCAGAGAATGATAAACACCTCTTGGGCACAACCTTTGCATCTCCTCCTCTTCCCTGAATTCAGATCCTCTTCCCCAATAGAGACCCACTTCGCCATAGACGGTGCTTTTCATTTCTCTTACAACCCTTCGAAACTCATTCGCTTGGGAAAGACATGCAATTTTGGTACAGTTCTAAACCTAGAGTTTGTTTCTTTTTTTTTCTTAAACCCTTCCCTTCTTAAATTAGGGCATTTGATTAAACTATTTGGATTTCAATTCAACGATTTCTGGTGGGGGGTTTTGAATTAGGGCGTTTGATTCAACGATTTTTGGGTGGGGGGTTTTGATTTTTTTTTTTATATATATAAAATTCTTAGGTAGTGAGCTCCCCCCCCTCCCCCGTTTCTCCTTTTTTTTCTTATTTAAAAAGAAAAAAAGAAAGAGAAATCTAACCGACACCATGCTTATGGATGTGAATCCAGAAACTCTAAGATTTGTCTTTTTTTTTTTTTTTTATATGAGTTTCAATAGTCTAAATGGGATTCAAGTTTTGAAATGGGTTTGAAATATACAAGTGTTCTCTAGCCTTGTCTAAATTCAATTTTATGTTTTTGTTTTTCCAATTTTTTCATTATGTAATGCAATCTATAATATCTATGAAGTTCATGTCTTCTTCTTTGTAGTTTTGCACCTTAAATGTTTATTTATTTACTGTGGTATATGATTTGTTTGTAGTAATTCTCCATATGGTATGTAGATTCAATCATTTCACTTTTTATTGGATTGAAACATTTGTCTAATCTTTTTATTTTGTTAGGATTTCCCCTCTTGTTTGTGATAGGAAACAAACAAGAATTCTGCATGTCAAGTGTTTGAAGATATTTCCGAGAGATAACCCATCAACCCATCAAACCATCAACCCACTGTTGTTGAAAAACTTATGGTATATTAACCTCTTATAAAATGACTATTCTATTTGTAATAGAGCATAAAAGTTTTTAAGAATTCAAATGAGATATTGTAAAGGGAAGGGAGTGTCGTATATCAATGTTGTGCAACTGAACCTATAATAGATTTTTTTTTTAATTTTTTTTTATATTTTATACTGCCTCACCTATAATAGATTTTAATTAATTTATTTATTTTTGGTGTAGGAACATTTCTTTTCTCCTTGAGTAGGGGTGGTAGTGATTTGACAACCACAACCATTGGTAAAGCTCTGGGGTTGCGAGAAATTCAGGTCAATGCTTTTTTTTTTTAATTTTTATTATATTTTAATACTGCCTCACCTATAATAGATTTTAATTAATTTATTTATTTTTGGTGTAGGAACATTTCTTTTCTCCTTGAGTAGGGGTGGTAGTGATTTGACAACCACAACCATTGGTAAAGCTCTGGGGTTGCGAGAAATTCAGGTCAACGCTTACCCTAAATACATTTATGTCAAAAGTTGTTCATATATCTGCATATGTATACATGGATATGGGATAACATTGTAGATAACATACTATGGAATAGTGTGAAACAGTGTATTCTTATGAGCTCTAGTTGTATGAAAATTTAATTCAGGTTCTATAATTTGTAATTGCATGACTTCCATACAAGTTTCTAGACTAATAAGAACATGTTTTTCAATCCATTACTGGTGTGGAAGGATGTTGATGGTGTTTTGACGTGTGATCCTAACATATATGCACTCGCAGAACTTGTGCCATATCTAACATTTGAGGACCCGGCAGAGCTTGTTTATTTTGGTGCTCAGGTATCATTTTAGGGAAATTCCACTATACACACCTCCTACCATATGCACCTCTAAGTTATTTCGTTTTCTTCTTTAGTTATGACCAATTTTCTTATTTAGTTATGACCTTATTTTAGTTATAATTCATGAGATCTTTGGTTATGCGTCATGTGTTGTTTGGTTATAGCCTCTCTTTTTTTTTTAGTTATGACTCTGAAAGTATAAAGTTATGTCATTTTCTTTCTTAGTTATGAGGTGCATACGGTACACCCCAATCTAGAAACAAACACTGCTAGACAAAACAAATAGAGGTAGACTATGAATTTTCCATAAGCCCCATCTCAGTCAATTTGAGGAGAAGTTTGAGGAGATCAATGGTGATGAGGCATCCCCAAGTATTCCTTTGACATCAAGGTTTGATGGAAATTCAGCTGCACCAATGGTAACTGAAGAAAGCAGAAATGACACTGAAATGCAGGGTCAAGAAGATCATAGACTATGCTCTGATATAAATGCCTCACAAGACTTTGTGAGTGGGATCATGAAGATTGTCCCAGAAGTTGATGTGAGTCCTTGAATTTAACCAATTATTAGTTGTTTTGGTTATGAGGTACAAATTGCCAAGAAGCTTTTATTTGCACACCACACTTCTCAGTTCACACCTTTTTTTTCGTTCAGATATCATATTATTTATCAAACAAAAATAAATTGCTTGGATATCAACCAAACAAAAACCCAGTTCGGTTGTTGATATCTGAATGATTAATTTTTGTTCGGATGTTGATATCCAAACAATTGATTTTTGTTTGGTAGTTGATATATGACTACCAAATTGGTGTGAATTGAGAAAAAGGGTATTGTGCAAATAGAAGCTCCCAAATTGCCAATGGCAAGTCAAACTTAAAACTCATAACACTCTTAGAATAACTTCATACCATCTGCCAAGAGCAACTATAACCAATGCTATTTAGAGAATAGTTATTGCCTTACGGCTTTACCAAAAACCAGTAGTCAGAGTTTTCCTATCAGTGGTGGTCCAAGTCCATGGACGGTCTGCAAATTTGCTTACCTTGGGTTAGCAAATCAAAATAGAGAGAGAACATCATGATTTTGATATATGTATATGTATATATTTTTTTGGTCTTTGCAGAGCGATGCAGATTATTGGCTTTTACCAGATGTCGATGTTAGCATTACAGACATGTGGACAGAGCATATCCTATACTCTTGAGCTTGTGTGCCTATGTGGGTTTTGAGATTGCAAGATCACATAAAGAGAGTTTTGTTGCAGATCTGTACCCAGTTACTTATGGGTGGTGTTTTCTATTATTGTTGGTGATCACAGGATATGCTAAAGTATCACATGAAGTAAAGCTGAAGGCTGGTCTGTTTGATGTGGGCTTGAAGGACATTAAGAGGGCCAGGTTACAAAAATGCAGCAGTTCTTTGAGTGGTCCTCAAAAAGGAAAGTTGGTGTTTTTAATTTATGCTAATTTTGTACCCAGCTTACCTTTATGCATATCTAATTTTGGATGTTGTATTGAGTGGATGATTATTACATCTGGTCTATTTTTGAAGCCTATCCCGGTGGGCTGTGTCTGGAGGCATTTTTCTGCTCCTTTTGTTGTATGCTGCTGCTATATGCTTTGCTGCCAGCTGCTGCTCTATCTATTCCTTACTGTTGTGGCCTTATGCTATTTGCTATGCTGCATGGCTGCATATTACTGCATGGTTTTTCAAGTTATACTATAAAATGTACTAAATTATTGCTTAGCATAACAGTTAAAAGCATGATCTGTGGTTTTTATATTTTGTCTTATTATCTGTGATGTTCGTTCATGTGATTTTGATATTATCTATCATTTTTCTACAGTCTCATTTAAAGATATTCCTGTCACCTAGTTTTACTTGCCATAAATTTTGGAATTAAACAAAATTCTTAGTCTCATCATTTGCAGAATTCTGGTAGAGAAGTAGTTCCTTGAGTTGTTTTCATTTTGTGGCTATATCATTTGCTTAGCTGAATGAGTTCAAACCTTCATGTTACAACTTTTCAATTGAAAATAAAAGCAAAACTTTGAAAGTTTATAGCTTTATGATTGCAGTTAAATCATTGCTAGCATGATGGGTCTCGGAGACATTAGAATTATAAAACATTCCAACTTTAATTGTATGTTTGACACATCTTCATTGATTCAACTCTCTGTAATTTCGGTGCTTTTCCGATGAGTTTACAATGATATCTGGCTCTGATTTTGAGTATTTTTTGTTCTTTCTTTTCTTGTTGGTGCAGTGGATCCTGAAACAGCGCTTTACACAGAGCTATGGCGCACTTGTGCTGGTCCGCTCGTGACAGTGCCTCGTGAAGACAAGCGCATGTTCTATTTTCCTCAAGGACATATTGAGCAGGTTAGTTTCCAACTCTAGGCAATGAATTTATTATCTGTGAAGTGTTTTGAGATTTGATAAATATCTCATAAACCTGAGTTAGTTGTGTGCAAATCTCAGGCGATGAATTTGATTTTCAGCCCTAGAATTTGAAATTCGTTGATTTCGAAGAGTTAAGAAACGTCGACTTGAACCAACATTTGGCTGGACATGATCCGTGTGAGACTTCGAGTGGTCCAGATTCATATCCAAACAGGTCCACAGGACACAGGAACAGTCGCCTTAGCAGAAAAGTAGAAAAAGAAAAAGGTAATCTACATCTCACTTTTGAGCTTAAACAAGGAAATGGCAGTATGAACTCTCTCAACCTCTCAATCTCATTCTGTATCTCTCTTTGTCTCTCTCATTCTTGCTTTCTCTCTTTGTTTGTCAATCTCCTGCTCTCTCTTTATGGTTCTTTTGAAATCTCTAATTTTCATTCATTGTCAATCAAATCGCCCCTTGGATTGTCCAAAATGATCTCTCTAGGGCAACACAAAATCAACATTTTTAGGTATTTCCTTTGATTAATCTCTGGCATGTTTTTTTCTTCCTCTGTATCTATATATTCTTTGTATTTTGCAGCAATTTATGCATATCTATTTATTGAAATTGAAATTATTAATTTTCTGTGCATAATGGAGTTTGATCCATTGGTGATTTAAGTACGATTCTGTGTTTTCTACACTAATGTGTTACAAATACTACTCATACTTTAATTTAATTTTGTTCAATTTTAATGGAATAAGAAATTCTTAGCCTACTTGAGATCGTTCTGGTAGATGCTTCGTTCATATATATATATATATATATATATTTTTGCTGGGAATTTGGAGCGACATTATTTGGATTTATTTTATTTTAATTTAATGCAGCTTTGAAAGATCTAGAAATTGGAGCGACATTATTTGGATCGTCGTTGCCTTGCTATTCCCCATCATAATGTGTATTGATCAGGTGCAAGCTTGGATTTGAAGAACATATATCTCCATGGTGAGTTTTTTTGTACATCTCATATTTCATATAGGAAAGAAAAATAACAATAATGATTTGATTTGAAAGATCTGAACTGCCATTGGATTCTAGTGAGAGATCCATGACACCATGTTCTTCATTTTCCATCTCTTTTTCTGTGTTTTCACCCCTGTCAACTATCTTAACATCCTCATACACCTGAATGGCCTATCACAGTGGATCTTTAAAAGCAATCATATTTAGAAGTAGAAAAAAACTTAATGACACCAGATAAAAGTTATTTAAAAATTGATATAGGGTGAGTCTTTTTCTAGTGTTTTGTGGCCATTCTTGCCATAAGTGCTAATGAGTCAGTAAGCATTCTTGTAAAGATGACATAACTTAGATAGGTCATTGACTTAATCTAGTCGACTAACAGATGGGGTGTGGGCTGCAGGTTTGGATACAGTATTATTTGGATAAAATACAAGCCTAATTCCATTTATCTAGTTGCTCATAATATCAGTCAATCTTCTCAATATGAAATTGTGCAGTCCCAAATGTGTTTTAAAGTCTAAAATGGTGGAAAATAAATAGTTTTTGTTCTGGCTTTTAATATGAAGACGGATCCTATAGAATAGATCTTGTTCAAGTAAGGTCGTACCGTGTACTTCTCATCTTATAAATACACCTCTTCTTTCTCATATTGTTTCGATGTGGGACTCGCTGTCTGTGTCTCAGAGATTGATCTTTTAGATTTATATATTTTGTTATTAGTTTGATTTTCTTCAATTGTTTCACATCTGCTTTCCATACTGAATTTGATACTAGGGAAGTTGTAATTGTAAGTGGATTTGGAATTTCTGTGTGTGCAAAGACAATTACTTCAAAAGATCCTCACACTTTTCATAGCATTGATATGCTCTTTTGACTCAGTAATTTTCTGATATGCTTTGTTGAGCTGTTGTTTAGACTCGAAGAAGAATGACCTTATGTTTATGAACTCAGACAAGTTTAGTGACTTCCAGATCAAAATTTGAGAGCGAAGAACCATGTTGGCAATCAAGACAGGGAAATTCTCTTCAATAAATTGTTATTTTCACATTCTTTGGGTTTTGGGATTTTAATACAAAGATGGATCCTATGTTTTAATATGAAATTGTGCAGTCCCAAATGTGTTTTGAAGTCCAAAATGTAATAAAAGAACTTTTTCTAGTTTTTTAGTTGTAATAACTTTTACATATGACTCCAATTTTGAGACTCAAATGGAATGCCTGATTAAACAAAAATGTTATACTGTTTGAATTCTTGTCATTGCTATTTTTAGAATGCTTAACGTTACGCTTTTATGTTTCTTTTTTCTTTTTTGCTTTTTATTTTTTTTGCGACAGTAACAAAATGGTCGCCAAAAAACATGTTAGCATTTTTCTTTATTTTTTGCGACGGCAAAATAGCAGTCACCATAAATAGTTTAGGCAGTCGCGAATAATTTGCGACCGTTGCTTTGTCATCGTAAAAAGTATTTGTCATCCCCACATTTGCGACTCCCATTTACCGTCGCATGGACGGTGGCAAAAAGTCTTTTGTGACTATATTTTTATTATTTGCGACGGCTTGTGGCGGTCGCAAAAAGTGTTTTTTTTAGTAGTCTATACAGTGTAATTGATAATATGTTAATGTTTTTCTTGTTTATTTTATTTTTTTTTGTAGATTGGTTTTTGATGACATTTGGAAGCATACTTGCAAATCAAGATCAAGTGTTGAATTTTTTTTTTACTGAAGTGATACTTAGTTGTAGTTGCAAATCAAGATTGAGTGTTGATTTTTTTTGTGGACTCGACGTTAGTTCATTTTGGGATTTACTTTGATGATTTTTTTGTTATATGTAATGAATTATTATTAAAGTTGTTTGATGGATATATTTTGATTTATAATATAATTGTTTAGTGAACTGTTTTGTGGAGTGGTGTATAATAGCTAGTGGATTTCTTAGTACATTTAAAAGGCTATTGGGATATAAGCACAAATATTTGTGAAATAATAATTTAAATTGAAATATAAAATATGGAACAATTCTAGTGACAAATTTATTTCGTCATTTTAACTTGTTATTATGACAAAGTGATTATTCGGCATTAATAAATATTTTTTGTGAGAAAATTTATTGTAAATTATATATGAAAGTTTTCATTGATTTTGTTATTTGGTGACTAAAAATTTCGTCACGTATATAAATTCTTGCTACGAAATATATTTCGTCACCCATTTGACTTTTGGAGACAAAAAATTTCGTCACTTTTACATCTTATTGTGTCAAAATTATTTCCTCATCAATGATCAACATGTGTGACAAATTTATTCGTCAACTAAAATTATTAATATGGTACTGAATAATTATTTGGTGACGAAAATGAGAATTTTTTGTGATAAAATCTTGTTTTATTGGTGACAAAAAATTTCGTCACTGAAGTAATTTCATTGGTGACGAAATTATTTTTCATCACGGTGGTTTATAGTGACAAACATTCAATGATGAAACTGGTGACGAAAATATTTCCTCACAAATATCTATAGTGACGAAATTAGCTCTTTGGAGACAAAAAAATTTCGCCATTCAAGACCTAACTTGTTGTACTTTTTTTGGTTATCCAGATTGATGCTCATTCTGGTAGTGTTAACGATCTTGCATTCTCTTACCCAAACAAACAACTTTCTATTGTCACATGCGGGGAGGATCGGCTCATTAAGGTTTGGTTTCTATGTCATTGCTTTACAAGTAATGCAAAGGATTGGACATTAGTTGTAAAGGTTTAATTTTCTACAGGTGTGGGATGCAGTTACAGGGAATAAGCAGTATACTTTTGAGGGTCATGAAGCACCCGTCTATTCTGTATGTCCACATCGCAAGGAAAACATTCAGGTATTCTTTGTTCGCTATATAATATATAAAAGAAAGCATGGAAACTAATGCTAAGCAATGTGTAATATATGAAGAAATATGCGATGTAGGTGCCATATCATGCCATATATTCTGCCATTAGTGATAGTGATATATGGTATTCTTGCAGGCTTTTGGCATCTTATGTTATCTGTGTTGCTTTATCATCAAGGATCACCTCAACTCTTTAAAATTCTGATTTGTTAGATGTATTTCTACTAAATTGGTTTATAAAATAAAATTATTTATATATGAGTTTAGATGTAATTGATAATATATTAATGTTTTCTTTGTCTATTTTCTTTGCAGATTGGTTTTTAATGATGTTTGGAAGTATACTTGCAAATGAAGATTAACTATTGAATTTTGTTTCCTGAACTGATACTTAGTTGTAGTTGCAAATCAAGATTGAGTGTTGATTTTTTTTGTGGACTCCACGTTAGTTCATTTTGGGATTTGCTTTGGTGGTTTTTTGTTATACTTAATGATTTATATTATTAAAGTTGTTTGATGGATATATTTTGATTTATAATATAAATTGTTTATTGATTTTTTTTTGTAGAGTGATGTATAATAGCTAGTGATTTCTTAGTACAATTAAAAGGCTATTAGGATATGAGCAGGGATATTTGCAAAATGATAATTGAAATTGAAATATAAAATATGAAACAGGTTTAGTGACAAATTTGTTTCGTCATTCGTACTTGTTATTATGACAAAGTGAATATTCGTCATTAATAAACATTTTTTGTGACAAAATTTATTGTAGCGCATATATGAAAGTTTTCATTGATTTTGTTGTTTGGTGACGAAATATATTTTGTCATGTATATAAATATATTTGCGACGAAATATATTTCGTCACCCATGTATGATTTTTGGAGACGAAAAATTTCGTCACCTTTACATCTTATTGTGCCGAAATTATTTCCTCATCAATGATCAACATTTGTGACAAATTTATTTGTCAACTAAAATTATAAATATATTGAATAATTATTTGGTGACAAAAATAAGAATTTTTGGCGACAAAATCTTGTTTTATTGGTGACAAAAAATTTCGTCACTAAACTAATTTCATTGGTGACGAAATTATTTTTCGTCAAGGTGGTTTTTAGTGACAAACATTCAATGACGAAGCTGGTGACGAAAATATTTCTCCACAAATATCTATAGTGATGAAATTAGCTCTTTCGAGACAAAAAAATTTCGTCATTCAAGACCCATCTTGTTGTAAGATACTATGCACCGAGTTAGGACCTTCTTTGATGGATCCCATCGTCACCTTTTTGAAAAACAAGATTTTACAAGACGACAAAAATGAGGCAAATATGATTCGAGAAAAGTCACAACAATTTTGGCTTTCCTTATCTCTGATGTTGTACGAAAAGTCTTTCACAAGCCCATACTTGAGGTGTGTCCTCCCTAGCAAGGTTGAGGCCTTCTTGTTTGAAATTCATAAGGGAATGTGTGGAAGTCACCATGGAGGAAGGTCATTGGCCTATCGAGCTATTTTGCAAGGATATTGGTGGCCATGAATGCAAATAAATGTGGAGAAGTATGTCAGGAAGTGTAAAAAGTGCCAGAAGTTTGCATATCAAATCCACCTACCAGCCAAAGAAATCTTACCTTTGACCAGTCCTTGGTCTTTCGCCATGTAGGGTTTGGACATAGTGAGACCACTCCTAACCGTGCCAGGCAATTGAAAGTTCTTCATTGCAGCGATGGACTACTTCATTAAGTGCATTAAGGTAGAGCCATTTGCATCCATCAAAGAGAAAGACGTGAAGAAATTTGTTTGGCAAAACATTATCACTCGATTTGGAATTCCTAAAGCCTTGATATCAGACAACGACACTCAGTTTGATGGGAGCATCTTTAAAGGTTTCTATGAAGAGCACACGATTAAGTTCTATAAATCCACTCCAACCTACCCCCAGGCCAATGGATAGGAAGAAGCTTCAAACATGGTAATCCTGGATGGGTTGAAGAAATGATTGGAGAAAGCAAAGGGAAAGGGGGTTGAAGAACCACCCCACGTCTTGTGGGCCTACCGAATGACACCAAGACGGTCAACTAGGGAAACGCCCTTTGCCTTGGCGTACGGAATGGAAGCCGTCATCCCTTTGGAGATTAGCCTTCCTACAATCAGGACTGAAAACTTTGATCCAGACCTCAACGGAGAAACAATAAGCTTGGAACTTGATCTCACAGAAGAAATGAGAGAGAGCTCTAATTCATATTGCATCAAATCAATAAGTGTTATCCAGAAAGTATAACAAAATAGTACATCCAAGGTAATTCAAGGTGGGAGATTGGGTTATGCACAAAGTCATGGACAACACTTTGGCACCTGGTGACGGCAAGTTGGGACCCAACTGGGAAAGACCATACAAAGTTGTGGGGTTGGTTGGAAAATGAGCCTACCACTTAGAAGATATGGATGGCCTGGTCTTTCCAAGACCATAGAACACAACAAACTTGAAATTGTTTTATTTGTAGCTTCCACACTTGTAATTTTTTCTTTCTTTTAGCTCAGCATTAATAAAATAAGTAGACAATGTTCATTTTAGACTTTGCTTTGTTGTAGTTTCACTATGTGATTGTAATGAATATAGATTCCCTAAGTGGACTAACCGAACGACGGTAGAATGGCCCAAGGGCAACTACTTCAGTCTAAACTTTGGAAAATCTTTGACTGAGCTGGTTAACTCAACAAAGTAGGTTGGCAGGATTGTCTGACTTTGAAAAATCTTTGACCGAGCTGGTTAGCTCGGCAAAGGAGGTTGGCAAAATTGTTGAACTTTTGAAAATCTTTGATTGAGTCAGTTAGTTGGTTAGCTCAGCAAGGGTGTATTTAGCTTAGAAAGAAACACAACAAACAGGGCTTGCAAAAAGTTGAAATATTTCCATTGAAGATCAGAGATGATTATAGGAGCTAGGGGCAAACAACCTGATTACAACATATATAAAAAAATAAATAAATAACAACAACAACAACAATAAGAAGTTGTTAAGCGATTAGATGCTGGAATTCTCTTGTTTGGCTGAGGCATTAGGCTTCCCTAGTGTTGACACCAACATCATCGCTAATATTGGTGATTTCTTCTTCGGCAATGACACTTGGCAGAGTCTGACTAGTATCCTCTTGCTGGGCAAGGGCATCATTGTTCTTGTCCACTGGGCTCTCCTCTCTCTCCACCTCAAGCAACTTCTATTGCACGACGTTGGCATAAATCACCATGTAGTCAGACATAAAGTGTGGCGATGGATTGTTGAAGAATTGAGAGTCTGGAGCCTACCCGAGTTTCTTGACTACCATCTTCCAGCCGCACTGAAAGAAGATGTCTTTCGTGGCCTCGCATAGGTGCTCATATGCTTTTTTGCCCTCTGTGTAGCCACGGTCTTCAACATCTTCTATCTTCTTTTCAAGTGCCTTGACGTTAGCATCATAATTGTCTTTGAGCTTCTTGAGCTTATGTAGATATCTGTTTTCTCTAATCGGCCAAGTCTTTCTATTTGTCCGCCTTAGTCGTGTGAACTTGCTCAGCTAGTCGATCTCGGTCAGTGATCACTTCGGCCAGATTTTCTTTCAACTCCTCAGCCTTCTTGACATCATTGTTCACTATTATGGCCCTCAAGCTCTTCCTTAGATCCAGCGCTTGCTTGTAGGCAACATAAGCTTTTTGTGGGACCTGAAAAATAAGAAGAGCATCAGAAATTGAGCAAACAATTGTACAGAAAAAAGAAAAGTTCAAAGTCTTACCAGAACTATGGATTTGGTGGTCGACCTGATGGCCTTCAGGTCGGTTAGCTATTGGATTCTCTCCATGTTAGCAGGTAACAATAGCCCTTTACCTAGGTTGAAGGTTAGCTAGTTGTCTTTGTCCGTATACATAGAGTCAGCTGTGGTCACAACTTGACCCTTATGGTTTAGCACGAGTGCCCACGTCGGGGGAGCAAAGTAACTCGCAGTTTTCTCGATTCCAATTGGCTTAAACTAGATATCTTGGTTAGCTAGCTCGACATCTTACAGCTCGGTATTGTCTTGATCTACAAGATACTACTCAGTTGGAGTTGACTACGCCCTCTTGCTAAGCTGATATGAAGTAGCCTTGGTCGTTGGAAAGGAAATGACAATCGCAATCCTTTGTTTGGTTGGTTGTTGGTCAGCTTGTAAGTCTGCGGGTACAGAATAACTTTGCTCAGTGATGAGGGCGTTGAGAGCTTTCCTCTTGGCCATGTCCTTCTCTTCGGTCAAGGGTATGAGGTTGATTTCAGGAAAGGATGGATCTGGCTCTGGTGAAGGTTCAATGAGCAAATCTGTAACCTTTCTTTTTTTGCTTGCCGCTGTATCGGTAGGTCGGCTTGAAGTTTAGCAGGTCGGTCCAATCTCTATATTTGTGTCTTAGCAAGGTGCATAGTGCATCTTGGTTTGCATAGGCATAAGTTTCTTTCAAGTGATAGTTTTTTAAAACTTAACGGTTGCGGCCGTTACGTCGACATAATACCATAAGACAACTACTCTCTAATGGAATTATTTCCATTGATTACGTGAAGTCTAAAGACAACATAGCAGATCCACTAACCAAAGGGTTAACAAGAGAGCTAGTTGAGACTTCATCGAGGGGAATAGGACTAAAGCCTATTAAATAAGAGTTACCACAACGGCAACCCAACCTAGTTGACTGGAAATCCTAAGATCTAGGTTCAAAGGGACAACCTAGTTGTGAATGACTCAGAAGGATCACTGGGGAGTCTAACTCCTACCCATTTCTTTGATGACATAGTGATGTCTGCAGTGTTTGAGGTTAAGTAAAATTTTAATGATTCTTATATCTAGGTAAACCTAGTGGAGTATGGCAGGATACTCTTCATAAGAATCATCTATGTGAGTGTGAACTGGGCCGGTTCTATAAGATTTGTGAAGGGCTACAAGTCTTTAGAGCACTCATGAGACACCAGGTTGTTCAGGGCCAAAATGAACACAATAGTGAGAACTAAACTGTGTCTAGGATATACTGTGTGAGTTCTATTGTCTTGGTTTACACAAACGACTGAACAGTTCAAGACATCATGTTCACTGGTTAGCTAGTAAATCCGATAGTGTCTCACAAGGGAAGGTTCAAAGTAAAAAACTACCTATCCTTTGCAGAATATTACCAATTTCTGTACTCTCTGTAATTAGATCATGTTGTTGCATTTTCTCTCCGTCAAATTCCATTCATGTGGGGGATTGTTGGAAAAATGGTTAATATAGGCATATTTTGGGCCGACTTTGAGCCCAAAATTGAGTGGGCCCCGAACGTCTTTTGGGACAGGTCCGAAGAGGTGAAGTGCTCCTTGCCGCGTAGCAAGTCACACGGTGAAGACGGTTCGTCAAAACCATCTATGAGTGAATGGGAACATGATGTCATTTTCGGGTTCGTGGAATGGACATTTAAAGTTTTAAAGTGGGTTTCCTTGTGAGAGGCTTGTCCCACATTGAAACTTTAAGAGAGGTTATTTGTGTATATGAGCTCTAGCCTATAACACTTGGGTTGGGCCCCAAGGGGTACCCCAAGTTTGTAGAAGACAGGAGTTATGGACAAAGTGAACCTTAACCCAATCCACCACACGCGCGCGCGCGCCGCCGCCGCCGTTCGTCCGGCCGTGCCGGGCGCATGTGTGGGTTGCGGGTCGGGTCGGTTCTAATATTAATTTTTTGGACAAAATTTATTTGAATTTTAAATGAAATTAAATTCAAAGTTTGTGTCAAATATTTGAATTAATTTTCTATCCATGTTTTATGCCTCTTCCAGTCCGAATTTTGTTTTCTAAACTGTTTGAACAGTGCTAAATAACTGCCCAACAGTTACTGATTTGTAACTGCCGAACAGATTCAAAAATCTGGTTGCAAATCCGTTTGTTTTATAATTGCATCTGTTCAAAAATAGTTTACACCTGTTCATTTCAAATTTGTACCTATTCGGGTGTATATATTGTAGACTTGTTTCTAGAGATTGGGGTTGATAAAAACATCCATAATTCTGTCCAGAGGTTTGAAAAAATTCGGACAGTTTCAAGGTCTGTCCAGTTTACATTTTAAATCTGTATAGAATAGTTTCATATCTGTATAGGCTGTTTACACACCTGATCGGACAGATTTATTTGCCAATAAATACCAGCCATTTTCCAGCAGTCTTGAGGCCCAGAAAAATTCAGTCTGAAATATTTTCTTGCTGTCCAGTTTTTATCTTTGGTGCATTATTCTTCATTTTAGTTTTAGAATAAAATTCAGAGAGTTAGAACACAGGTTTGGTTCACCGAACAAATTGTTTGGAGTGCTACTACAATTTGTGAAGATCATTGTATCCTGGGAGATAGACACCACTCAACCGTATGCACCGTAGCGGGGCGAATCTGTCTTAAGGACAGAGTGTCACACACTCGACTTGGTCTTGGAATGTTTTAATTTGGTTCAATAAATAAATCCGGTATGTTATTTATTTATTTTGTTTGATTTAATTTTCATTTTATTTATTTACACAGAAGATTGTTCCAACAAGGCAAGACTGGTGGTCAAAGGTTTTAGGCAAAAAGAAGGTCTTGATTACTTTGACACATACTCACCGGTTACAAGAATAACATCCATTCGAATGCTAATTGCCATTGCATCTCTATACAATCTAGAAATTCATCAAATGGATGTGAAAACCGCTTTCTTAAATGGTGAGTTAAATGAAGAAATTTACATGGAACAACCAGAAGGGTTTTCTGTTCCAGGAAAAGAAAAGAAAGTGTATAAATTGGTTAAATCATTATACGGTTTAAGACAAGCGCCAAAGCAATGTCATGAGAAATTTGACGAGGCAATGATGTCAAATGGATTTAAAATTAATGAGTGTGACAAATGTGTTTATATTAAAAACACTGACAAATGTTATGTTATTGTATGTCTTTGTGTAGATGATATGCTCATCATAGGTAGTAATAATGACATGATTAAAACTACAAAGAAAATGTTGAATAAACATTTTGACATGAAGGACATGGGCATTGCTGATGTAATTCTTGGTATGAAAATTACCAAGACATCAGAAGGATATGCTTTGACACAATCTCTTTACATTGAGAAGATACTTGACAAATTCAGCAAAGATGATGATCATCTTGCTAGAACACCTGTAGATGTTAATTTGTACCTTTCTAAGAATGTACAGGAAAGTATTTCTCAATTAGAGTATGCCCAAATTATTGGAAGCTTAATGTACTTGATGAACTACACTCGCCCAGATATAGCTTATGCAGTAAGTAAATTAAGTAGATATACGAGTAATCCGGAAGTAGAAGACTAGAAAGCAATTATAAGGGTTTTTAGATATCTCCGATTTACTCGTAATATTGGGCTTAATTATACTAGATATCCAGCAATACTTGAAGGATACTATGATGCAAATTGGATATTGGATACTAGAGACTTAAAGTCCACCAGTGGGTATGTCTTTACTCTTGGTAGAGCGGCTGTATCTTGGAAATCTTTCAAACAGACTTGCATTGCTAGGTCTACTATGGAATTAGAATTCACAGCTTTAGACAAAGCAGGGGAAGAGGCAGAATGGCCAAAACCGGGGCCTGCTATATGCATACATTGCGATAGTCAATCAGCAATAGGTAGAGCACATAGTCATATGTATAACGGTAAGTCTCGATATATTCGTCGTCGACATAATACCATAAGACAACTACTTTTTAATGGAATTATTTCCATTGATTATGTAAAGTCTAAAGACAACATAGCGGATCCACTAACCAAAGGGTTAACAAGAGAGCTAGTTGAGACTTCATCGAGGGGAATGGGACTAAAGCCTATTAAATAAGAGTTACCACAACGGCAACCCAACCTAGTTGACTGGAAATCCTAAGATCTAGGTTCAAAGGGACAACCGAGTTGTGAATGACTCAGAAGGATCACTGGGGAGTCTAACTCCTACCCATTTCTTTGATGACATAGTGATGTCTGCAGTGTTTGAGGTTAAGTAAAATTTTAATGATTCTTATATCTAGGTAAACCTAGTGAAGTATGGCAGGATACTCTTCATAAGAATCACCTATGTGAGTGTGAACTGGGCCGGTTCTATAAGATTTGTGAAGGGCTACAAGTCGTTAGAGCACTCATGAGACACCAGGTTGTTCAGGGCCAAAATGAACACAATAGTGAGAACTAAACTGTATCTGGGGATATACTGTGTGAGTTCTATTGTCTTGGTTTACACAAACAGCTGAACAGTTCAAGATATCATGTTTATAGCGATTCCGGTTTTACCTTTCTGTATTTATTGTTTTTCAGACTTTGGTTCCATGATGTTGGTGGTTGTATACCTTGTTGTCATCCTTTAATTCGGCTTGATTGAGTTTTAGGATGTCTTGGGCAGAGTTGTTACAGGTTGGTTAGGCTTTTGTTTCAATTCTTTGTTGCCCAGTGTTTTGGAGGTCTGCTCGAGCGGGTCTTCTTGCCCTTGAGCGGAGACTGCACACTCCCAGTATTTTGGTGCTCTGCAGAACTTCTACAAGCATGTTTTTCACGCTCGAGCGGTCGCGCTCGAGCGGGTAGTACTTTTTGGTGTAAGTTCTGGGAGGGGGAAATCTACGCTCGAGCAGACTGGTTTTTGCGCTCGAGCGGATGTACTTTATTCTTGTGTCTTGGCGCTCGAGCGGGCCTTCTTGCGCTCGAGCGGACCTAGTTTTTTGTTCTTGACGCTCGTGACGCTCGAGCATTGTGTTCTCCGCTCGAGCGGGAATGCCGTATATCAGTTGGCAGCTGGGCGTTTTAAATTCACTTTTTACATTCTCTCTCTCACTCTTACTTTCCAAAAAGATATTTCGAGAGCCTCTCTCTCTAGAAACTCCCTTCTCGCTAGGGTTTGATCTAGTTAGAGTGCTTCCCTTTCCTTCGGCCTTTGTAAAAGTTGGGTTGATCGTCGAGGGCTACGTTTTGATCCGAGAATATTGAGTTTTGGAGCACGTTGAGTTTCTTCATCTTCTTTCCTTGAGCTCTGAATTTGAGGTAGGGATTCCTACTCACTTTTATGGTCTTTGACATAGATTTTTGGTTGTTTTGATAAAGTGTTGAAGTTGGGTAATTTTGGGACTTAGAGTTTCAAAATGTCAAAAGAGGATTTTGTTATTTTGATTCTAAAATGTGTATTGTGGGTTTAAAATAATGATATCGTTGTTGGTTGTTGATATTTAGACCATTGGGTCAATATTGGGAAATCGGGTAGAAAACCCTAATTTTGGGAAAATTGTGATTATATGGAATTGAGTTGGAAATAATGAAATTGGTTCATTATATGGTAGAATAGTGGAGTTAGATTTATTAATCGCTCACTTTTGAAAACATTGATATTTTATCTGTTGGAGCTTTTATTATCTGTTTAGAAATAACTATGAGCTGAGGTTAGATGAAAGAGACCATATATTACATTTAGCTGCTACAATTTGATGTAGAATGAATCTTTTACTATATTATCAACATTTTCTTACTGTCTTGATGATTGAAATCTAACTTTCAGAGCATTTATAGTGAATATTGGTGACATGCTAGAGCGCTGGAGCAATTGTATTTTCAGGTAATGTGCGTTTGCCAAAGTTCCTAAATGATGGTTTTGTAGCTTCATGACAATCAGTCGGATTATTATTATTATTTATTTTTCAGTTGTTTATTGTGAGATAATATTGAGTACGATATGGGACATTGCCTTCTTTAGAGCAAAAATTTCAGAACAATAATTTCTCATTGCCACCACCTTGAATGACAATTTTTCTAGTATGTGGTTTGAGTGTTGGGATTATAATTTTATGGTACTTGGGTATCTGTGTGTTCACTTGCTTAATTTTATCCAGGTCCACGTTGCATCGAGTGGTGGGTAATGGTCAGGAGAGATATTCTGTAAGGTCCCTTTAAAAGCTTTTGAATGTTCTCTTATTGCATTTATGCAATATTATCGTCTAACATACACAATGGCTCTTTTTGCTTTTTGGTTTTCATTTTATTCGATTTATTTTCATTTATTTATTATTATTATTATTTTTTCATTGAGCAGATTGCATACTTTGTGGAGCCTAATCACGATTGTCTTGTTGAATGCTTGCCCACCTGCCAGTCACAAGAGAACCCTCCCAAGTAAGTATCAATTGAACACGGATAAACTGTTCATACCTGCATTGATCTAAGTATGAACACATGTTAACCATTGATAACTGCAACTGATCTGAGTACGTATGATCACAGATGAACTATCACCCACACAATGACGTGAGGACCATTAACGTCATCATTACGTGCAACATATGTGGACAAGTGGGAACCTCTAATTGTAATCCAAAACAATGGTTGGATCACCCTTCCTTTGGACACCCCATTCTCGAATTTAAATTTTGTTGATTTTCTTTGAATACCCCAATTAATTCCCACCATACCTGCACCCCCACCCATCCAACCTATTGGCCAGCCACCCAGCGCACCAGTGCCACCTCCACCACCCCTTCATTTCCCTCCCCTTCTCTCCCCACCACCTGCTGCCTCCTCCCTGTGCTCCCCAATACCCCCCTCTCCTTTCTTCTTGACACCCCCCACCTCTCCGCAACACCCCACAGCCCTCCCCTGATCTTCTTCTCAAACCCTAAGAGTGGACTACGCCCTCTTGCTAAGCTGATATGAAGTAGCCTTGGTCGTTGGAAAGGAAATGACAATCGCAATCCTTTGTTTGGTTGGTTGTTGGTCAGCTTGTAAGTCTGCGGGTACAGATAAACTTTGCTCAGTGATGAGGGCGTTGAGAGCTTTCCTCTTGGCCATGTCCTTCTCTTCGGTCAAGGGTATGAGGTTGATTTCAGGAAAGGATGGATCTGGCTCTGGTGAAGGTTCAATGAGCAAATCTGTAACCTTTCTTTTTTGCTTGCCGCTGTATCGGTAGGTCGCTTGAAGTTTAGCAGGTCGGTCCAATCTCTATATTTTGGTCTTAGCAAGGTGCATAGTGGCATCTTGGTTTGCATAGGCATAAGTTTCTTTCAAGTGATAGTTTTTTAAAACTTAACGGTTGCGGCCGTACGTCGACATAATACCATAAGACAACTACTCTCTAATGGAATTATTTCCATTGATTACGTGAAGTCTAAAGACAACATAGCAGATCACTAACCAAAGGGTTAACAAGAGAGCTAGTTGAGACTTCATCGAGGGGAATAGGACTAAAGCCTATTAAATAAGAGTTACACAACGGCAACCCAACCTAGTTGACTGGAAATCCTAAGATCTAGGTTCAAAGGGACAACCTAGTTGTGAATGACTCAGAAGGATCACTGGGGAGTCTAACTCCTACCCATTTCTTTGATGACATAGTGATGTCTGCCAGTGTTTGAGGTTAAGTAAAATTTTAATGATTCTTATATCTAGGTAAACCTAGTGGAGTATGGCAGGATACTCTTCATAAAGAATCATCTATGTGAGTGTGAACTGGGCCGGTTCTATAAGATTTGTGAAGGGCTACAAGTCTTTAGAGCACTCATGAGACACCAGGTTGTTCAGGGCCAAAATGAACACAATAGTGAGAACTAAACTGTGTCTAGGATATACTGTGTGAGTTCTATTGTCTTGGTTTACACAAACGACTGAACAGTTCAAGACATCATGTTCACTGGTTAGCTAGTAAATCCGATAGTGTCTCACAAGGAAGGTTCAAAGTAAAAAACTACCTATCCTTTGCAGAATATTACCAATTTCTGTACTCTCTGTAATTAGATCATGTTGTTGCATTTTTCTCTCCGTCAAATTCCATTCATGTGGGGGATTGTTGGAAAAATGGTTAATATAGGCATATTTTGGGCCGACTTTGAGCCCAAAATTGAGTGGGCCCCGAACGTCTTTTGGGACAGGTCCGAAGAGGTGAAGTGCTCCTTGCCGCGTAGCAAGTCACACGGTGAAGACGGTTCGTCAAAACCATCTATGAGTGAATGGGAACATGATGTCATTTTCGGGTTCGTGGAATGGACATTTAAAGTTTTAAAGTGGGTTTCCTTGTGAGAGGCTTGTCCCACATTGAAACTTTAAGAGAGGTTATTTGTGTATATGAGCTCTAGCCTATAACACTTGGGTTGGGCCCCAAGGGGTACCCCAAGTTTGTAGAAGACAGGAGTTATGGACAAAGTGAACCTAACCCAATCCACCACACGCGCGCGCGCGCCGCCGCCGCCCGTTCGTCCGGCCGTGCCGGGCGCATGTGTGGGTTGCGGGTCGGGTCGGTTCTAATATTAATTTTTTTGACAAATTTATTTGAATTTTAAATGAAATTAAATTCAAAGTTTGTGTCAAATATTTGAATTAATTTTCTATCCATGTTTTATGCCTCTTCCAGTCCGAATTTTGTTTTCTAAACTGTTTGAACAGTGCTAAATAACTGCCCAACAGTTACTGAATTGTAACTGCCGAACAGATTCAAAATCTGGTTGCAAATCCGTTTGTTTTTAATTGCATCTGTTCAAAAATAGTTTACACCTGTTCATTTCAAATTTGTACCTATTCGGGTGTATATATTGTAGACTTGTTTCTAGAGATTGGGGTTGATAAAAACATCCATAATTCTGTCCAGAGGTTTGAAAAAATTCGGACAGTTTCAAGGTCTGTCCAGTTTACATTTTAAATCTGTATAGAATAGTTTCATATCTGTATAGGCTGTTTACACACCTGATCGGACAGATTTATTTGCCAATAAATACCAGCCATTTCCAGCAGTCTTGAGGCCAGAAAAATTCAGTCTGAAATATTTTCTTGCTGTCCAGTTTTTATCTTTGGTGCATTATTCTTCATTTTAGTTTTAGAATAAAATTCAGAGAGTTAGAACACAGGTTTGGTTCACCGAACAAATTGTTTGGAGTGCTACTACAATTTTGAGATCATTGTATCCTGGGAGATAGACACCACTCAACCGTATGCACCGTAGCGGGGCGAATCTGTCTTAAGGACAGAGTGTCACACACTCGACTTGGTCTTGGAATTTTTAATTTGGTTCAATAATAAATCCGGTATGTTATTTATTTATTTTGTTTTGATTTAATTTTCATTTTATTTATTTACACAGAAGATTGTTCCAACAAGGCAAGACTGGTGGTACAAGGTTTTAGGCAAAAAGAAGGTCTTGATTACTTTGACACATACTCACCGGTTACAAGAATAACATCCATTCGAATGCTAATTGCCATTGCATCTCTATACAATCTAGAAATTCATCAAATGGATGTGAAAACCGCTTTCTTAAATGGTGAGTTAAATGAAGAAATTTACATGGAACAACCAGAAGGGTTTTCTGTTCCAGGAAAAGAAAAGAAAGTGTATAAATTGGTTAAATCATTATACGGTTTAAGACAAGCGCCAAAGCAATGTTCATGAGAAATTTGACGAGGCAATGATGTCAAATGGATTTAAAATTAATGAGTGTGACAAATGTGTTTATATTAAAAACACTGACAAATGTTATGTTTATTGTATGTCTTTGTGTAGATGATATGCTCATCATAGGTAGTAATAATACATGATTAAAACTACAAAGAAAATGTTGAATAAACATTTTGACATGAAGGACATGGGCATTGCTGATGTAATTCTTGGTATGAAAATTACCAAGACATCAGAAGGATATGCTTTGACACAATCTCTTTACATTGAGAAGATACTTGACAAATTCAGCAAAGATGATGATCATCTTGCTAGAACACCTGTAGATGTTAATTTGTACCTTTCTTAAGAATGTACAGGAAAGTATTTCTCAATTAGAGTATGCCCAAATTATTGGAAGCTTAATGTACTTGATGAACTACACTCGCCCCAGATATAGCTTATGCAGTAAGTAAATTAAGTAGATATACGAGTAATCCGGAAGTAGAAGACTAGAAAAGCAATTATAAGGGTTTTTAGATATCTCCGATTTACTCGTAATATTGGGCTTAATTATACTAGATATCCAGCAATGCTTGAAGGATACTGTGATGCAAATTGGATATCGGATACTAGAGACTTAAAGTCCACCAGTGGGTATGTCTTTACTCTTGGTAGAGCGGCTGTATCTTGGAAATCTTTCAAACAGACTTGCATTGCTAGGTCTACTATGGAATTAGAATTCATAGCTTTAGACAAAGCAGGGGAAGAGGCAGAATGGCCAAAACCGGGGCCTGCTATATGCATACATTGCGATAGTCAATCGCAATAGGTAGAGCACATAGTCATATGTATAACGGTAAGTCTCGATAATATTCGTCGTCGACATATACCATAAGACAACTACTTTTAATGGAATTATTTCCATTGATTTGTAAAGTCTAAAGACAACATAGCGGATCCATAACCAAAGGGTTAACAGAGAGCTAGTTGAGACTTCATCGAGGGGAATGGGACTAAAGCCTATTAAATAAGAGTTACCACAACGGCAACCCAACCTAGTTGACTGGAAATCCTAAGATCTAGGTTCAAAGGGACAACCGGTTGTGAATGACTCAGAAGGATCACTGGGGAGTCTAACTCCTACCCATTTCTTTGATGACATAGTGATGTCTGCAGTGTTTGAGGTTAAGTAAAATTTTAATGATTTCTTTATCTAGGTAAACCTAGTGAAGTATGGCAGGATACTCTTCATAAGAATCACCTATGTGAGTGTGAACTGGGCCGGTTCTTATAAGATTTGTGAAGGGCTACAAGTCGTTAGAGCACTCATGAGACACCAGGTTGTTCAGGGCCAAATGAACACAATAGTGAGAACTAAACTGTATCTGGGGATATATATGTGTGAGTTCTATTGTCTTGGTTTACACAAAACAGCTGAACAGTTCAAGATATCATGTTTATAGCGATTCCGGTTTTACCTTTCTGTTTTATTGTTTTTCAGACTTTGGTTCCATGATGTTGGTGGTTGTATACCTTGTTGTCATTCTTTAATTCGGCTTGATTGAGTTTTAGGATGTCTTGGGCAGAGTTGTACAGGTTGGTTAGGCTTTTGTTTCAATTCTTTGTTGCCCAGTGTTTTGGAGGTCTGCTCGAGCGGTCTTCTTGCCCTTGAGCGGAGACTGCACACTCCCAGTATTTTGGTGCTCTGCAGAACTTCTACAAGCATGTTTTTCACGCTCGAGCGGTCGCGCTCGAGCGGGTAGTACTTTTTGGTGTAAGTTCTGGGAGGGGAAATCTACGCTCGAGCAGACTGGTTTTTGCGCTCGAGCGGATGTACTTTATTCTTGTGTCTTGGCGCTCGAGCGGGCCTTCTTGCGCTCGAGCGGACCTAGTTTTTTGTTCTTGACGCTCGTGACGCTCGAGCATTGTGTTCTCCGCTCGAGCGGGAATGCCGTATATCAGTTGGCAGCTGGGCGTTTTAAATTCACTTTTTACATTCTCTCTCTCACTCTTACTTCCAAAAAGATATTTCGAGAGCCTCTCTCTCTAGAAACTCCCTTCTCGCTAGGGTTTGATCT